TTTTGCAAAGGTTTTCTATAGACCGGATCTCTGGAAAACCCTTAAAACATGAATTTTGAACTTTGTCAGTGACTCCATTAGAAAGAGCACACTCGAAAACCTACAAAAACATATCTGAGAGATCTTTTCAGCGCTTTAAAATCCAATGTCCACATGCCTAGGCAAAATTGCCCACTGTGCATCGTTTACGATGAACATAATACGTTGGCCGGGTTTATCTCAAAATACGACGAAATACTATAGTATACGGTCGTGAATCTTTGATCTGGGTAGTTGCAGAAAACGTTTCAAAAACGCCACAGTTAACAGCGTGTCAAAACATCTCAATTAAACGGTTTAGAAACGTTTATGGAGCGTTAACTGGCTATTAATCATATCTTTTTTGTTGACTTGAGCACTGGAAAAAGTTAGACGGATGGTTCGAAACCGTTCAGGATCGTTTCGTTTTATTCTTTCGGAGATATTTCAATATATAACAAACTTCTAGATCTATATATTCAAGTGTGCTTCATTCAAAAATGGGTTTACTCTCGATTCGTCCCTAATACTCACTCTCACTTTTGATGTCACCTTTAATGGTGTTTGATCTGCAAAACCAATCAGAGACGAATCGAGATGATAGCCAGCTATCGACTATCGGCAGTTTTAAACACATTACACAGCTTGAATGTATCTTACAACAGATTATCATTGTTATCATCAGAAATTCGTTCAGTACCACTGACGACTGTAGATGTTCATGCTAATCCCTCTTTATCCTCACTAGATGAACTGAATGGAATGACAAACTACAATATTTGTATGCACAACATTGTAATATTAAATATAAATTCCGAATAATTTACCGGGTTTACGATTTCTGAACATGTCATACAATCATTTAGAAGTTTTAATTGGTATTAGTAACTGAACGAATTGTCTGAAATTTAAATTGTCTAACAGCTGAACGTGTTTCACTCCTAACATGGTAAAAACGTATGATTTTAGTAATAATAAAATTGAATTTATACCATCACAAATTCAAGTACTTCAATATTTAAGAATTCTATCCTTGAAAAACAATCGGTTAACATATTTACCAAATGAATTATTTCTTATAGCCAATTATAGTTATTCAGGTGGTGGATGTGGTGCTGCGCGTTTAGATGTTAATGGAAATTTATTTGATGATAAAGAACTGAATCAGATTATTAAAACGGTGAAAGATAAATTAATTCATGTTAGTTTAATTTATTAATAAAAATAGACGAAACTGACATACGAGAACAACTTTATTATCATAGTTTGGTTTTTATTTACATATAATCATATTTTCATTCAAGAATAATAAACAAAATACATACAATACATATATAATCAACTAGTCGGCAATCACGCCAGCGAGAGTTGTAAATGCGATGTGAAACAGCTAAATATGATAATCGGAGGCACATGCTATTTTCCAACCCTTTGAGATCTTGCTTCAATTTAAAAAAAAAGTTTTGAAGTACTACAAGATGCAATATGTATGAATGAATAAAAAGTTGGTGAGGACCCGTTCAAAAAATTTTAAAATTTGCCACTTCCATAGCAAAATCCTGCGTGCGGCATTGTACAGCCGTCGTAACATGTAACGGATGAAGAAAGTGTAGAATATCAGAATATGACACTTTTTCGATCGAGAAAGCAAAGACGCACGATGCACCTGATTACTATAATGCGGTACTGCTTTGCACCGCATTAGCATTATCATGACATGAATCACATAGTATGGGAACGTACTCTCTTATAATGCACGTGTACATGAACGACTCAGATTAATTATCGTTTTCACAGTTCCCTATTCACGTTTAAAATTTTACTGTACCTCTTCTAGTTTCCGAGAAAATCGTTACAGAAAATGACACTTCTTCGATCTAGATAGACGCACAACGCAGTTTATTATATACTGCGATATTGCTTCGCACTGCTATTAAAAACCTTAAACTAACTCATCTCTACAGATTTTGATGATAGTTTTCAGGTTAGTTTTTTGATTATTAGGTTCAGGTTAGTTTCTATAGATTAATCGGGCTATGCAGAATACCCCGATCAGGATTTGTAGCCCAATCGAAATATATCGTATAGGCCGATCGGGATTTTATCCCGATTAGGATATAAGTCATGAGACCGGACTGTACGGCACTTCAAACAATATACGACGCTCTTCAAGGATAGCCAGTCAAACTCGAAAAACACCTACTCCTCTGCCCTCACTTTCAGACACTTACGGTTTTGATTCTCCATCTCTCACGACTAGACAAAAGAAACCTGTTCTTTCCAAATATCTTCTTGAAAAAGGACATGAAATTGGACATGAAATTGACCGGGACAGATTCAAGGTATTGTTAAAGGACAATGGCCCGTCCCGGTTACTAATAAAAGAATCCGTTACAATATTAAGCCATAAAAACGCTGTACGATATGTTTCTCTATTTATGATTCCTGAGAGCATTTCAAAAACAATAATAAAAGATTCATGGGAACACAGTATCCATTTTTGTCAAAATTGTACATTTCATATGTTACGTCGAGCAGATATATTTTTATCTCTATTCGTACAATTCAAACTGGCGAATCTTAGAGTGAGAAATGATATAAGCTTGGCTTACCGATACGAAATTGTTATGGAAATATTTTAAATGTGGAGATTAAATTCAAAAAATCCAAATTGAGCCGTACACATTGTTTACATAAAAGAATTCGATCCAATCTACAAGCAAATATTACTTGCCTGGAATATGGTCGATGTATGTCGGTCATTTATTCATTTATCAATGAGAAAGCCTCAATTAAATGCAGTAAAGAAATTTTCGAGTCGGTCACTTTCTCTAACGGGACATCAATCGTTAGCGTTCGGTCTTCACCATGTTTATGCAATTGACAATATTGATCATGTTCAACTAATTTCTAATGTCAGGTATTTTTACGCTAACCGTTTTTTAGGTTTTTTATCATTGAGATGAACAAGAAGAGGATGAGATCACGATTCATAATTTATCATTAGAACAACTACAAGCAGCGGGAAAGTTGCGTTCAACCACTCCCGTTTTTTTCATAACTTTGTAGAGCGCATCAAGCTGTATATACTCTGAAGTGCTTTCGATGAACAGACTTGTAATTGCTGAGAAAAGAAATTTTTACGAATTTCATACGATTTTGACCCTCTATTTAAAAAATTTATAAAAAATTCAAAATTGGAGCTGGAACTCTTATTGTTACGCAGTTCGACAGAGCACCTTAAGTGACATATACCCACAAGTTATAATGAAAATTGAACCAACGGTGTCTGAGAAAATTAACATTTTTCATTATAGTGCAGTTTGAGTCCTTAAAGTAATTTTTTGAAAATTATGCACGCATTTCAAAAACAACAAAGCATTTTGAAGAAAAATTTTCGCTGGCAAAGTTGTTCAGAATAATGCTCTTCATACCCTAAGCGGAGCACTTTTTTCATTTTAGTGGAAAAATTTTGAAATAAATTACAAATAAAAAATTTTTAGCTTTAAATTTACTTAAAATTTGTGTAAATTGCATTTCTTTCAAAATTTTAACACTAAAATAAAAAAAGTGCTCCGCTTAGGGTATGAAGAGCATTATCCTGAACAACTTTGCCAGCGAAAATTTTTCTTCAAAATGCTTTGTTGTTTTTGAAATGCGTGCATAAGTTCGTGTACAAGGTAATGAAAAAGTCGAATTTCCATGCAAGAGCGATTTCACCTAATATAGGTTTTCACTAGGTTTTTGAATTTTTTTCGAAAAATGAACATTGCCACGAGACTCAGTGTGATGGATAATCCATGTTTCCATTCATTTTAGAGATTACCACACCTAAGGAAATATCTATCCTGGGGCTTTGAGAAAAGCCGATAGCGCTGCTGAACCACGGAAGATTAAGAGGTCGCTTAGTTTCGATTTTGTAGAGAACACTTTACGCTAACATATCTATATGAGAAATGCAGAAGGCACTCTGGCAGATCTTGGAATTACGATCTACTCTTTCATGGACTAATAAGGTATACCACCTGCAGGTGGTATTTTCTAAGATATTTTTATGTCAACTTGTAGTTAATTATCTTCTCTACGCAATGCTGAAAATCGCAAGTCTTCGAAGTGCACCGTTCAAAAGTTATTAAAGAAATAGCCACCGGCATTCGTTTTTAATAATATATAGGCTGTTAATTAATATAACAGTCCATATATGAAAAAATCTCGAAAAAACCCCACATCCATGACAAATTAAAAAACCAAATAGAGGATTTTGTAGCGCTTGAGCTGCTGATTCAAATGATGTATTGTTCGTTATATTTGAGCAAAAGAGGTTGAAGAAAAAAAGAATCCAAACGACCAGACTACACTGAACTGGCATCGGTTTCAGAGAAAAAATTTATAAATAGTCTAGTAGGTAGATACTTTTTCTTTCTTTTTTACATACATAATAACTATGAATAATTGTGCATCTAAACATACTTGAATCACATTTTTGTCATTATCGCTGAATGACTTATGAAATATCGAAAATCAGCCACTAGATGGAAAATTTTGACCAAAGTCCAACGTTAAAAAACTCATAATTCCACCAATATTCATAGGACCGTCGAAATTTCTTGACGATACATAGTATTCAACGCACTCTGCAAACTGGCATAATTTGAGGGCAGGTTTGTATGTGGTTTACCCCCCCTCCCCCCGCTTAAGTCAATAATAAAGACAAGTCTATCATTATAACTCGATGATATAAGGGTAGAGACAATGTCATTCTTGATCGTTCAGATTATGTAATTAAAATTAAATTAATACTATACTCGAGAATACTTTAATCCTTTAAAGTCTATTGTCCATTTAAATGACATTATCATTATAACAAACTAAGGAAGCATTGTTTGGAAAAACTGACCTTATATCGGGTGTAGAGAATTAAATTGGCTATCGCATGGTAAAACAAAAATTTTATTTGTATTGTATGCGAGCTGAGATATTCAAATTTTAAAATGAAGATTTCGAAAAATTTTATTTATTTTAATTTACCTTTTTCATGTACTTTAGGAAAGGCTTTTTATTCAATGACTTTTCAGAAATATGTAGAAATGTGTGCTCTTTCAAGTTATGTCAGCTGAATAAATTATTGTTGGAAATTGTAGGCTGGCGATGGTACAAAACGAAAGATCATATTTTGCTGGGATTTCGGGCTCCGTTTCTTGATCATTCTTGATTTTCTTCACCATCTCAGCTCATTTTCTGTCTCAACTTTCTCAAACATAATGGTCTAAACTTAGATACCTTTGGTCTTTGGTTTCTAACGATAATTTTCGAAAAAATAATTTTCTTCAAATTTTTATTGTAAATTTAAATTATAAAAACTTAACTTTTTTAAAAATGAAAAGTAATATTTTTTGAGCGTGAGAAAGTCATATCGGGGTTTCATATATTCCATTTTCATAAGCGATTAGCTCAAAACCAAGTGTTGAAGCCTTGGGGACTTAAAGGGTTAACTTTTAAAAAATTGGATGAAGATCCAACGACAGTTAAAGATCATCTAATACATCTTTCGCTTAAACTAAAATACCGAGGTTTCTTATCCGAGAGTGAATATTCACGTTGTCGATCGATTCACGACCATGTTCTTGACCTGCAAGATTTTACGGACTACCGGACCACACCACAACTTTTAACTACGGACTTGGTAAGGTTTTAGCTAAGAGATTATGACACTAAACTGATAATAATTATAGATGTAAGGAGACATTTTATTTCGTTGACCAGATATCTAAATTTTCTTCTGACTACACTCAATACAAAATGGTATCATTCGATGTTACTAGTCTCTATACAAATGTTCCACTCGAATTCACTATCAATTTACTTCTTGATAAATTATATCCAATAACTGATAAATGTAAAATAAAATGTTCCAGGTGTTCAACATGTACGTATCAAAATCATAAAGATATGTAGTCCCTACTCTAAATCGCTACAGCAGACACACACTTTACATTTAATGATCAAATGTACAGCAAATTAATGGTGTTACTATGGGCTCTTCCTTAATCCCCCATTCTAGTCAATATCTTTATGACTCATCTGAAGAATTCTATCTACTTGATATTAGAGAGTAATAGAGTCAAATATTGCACTAGATACGTCGAGGACACTTTTGTGTTATTGGAGCAAAATTCATCACTAGATGTGATTCTTAACATATTAAATTCATATCACTCTGAGTTCTCGTGTAAATTCGCAAAAATAAAATTTTTCTTCAAGATTTTCATTTGGATATTCTGATTATCCGAAAACTTGAAAAAGTCTTGTGCAGCGACCTAGAATTCTCGTTTAATGAACAGAGTTTCAGAATTAATCGAAGTTCCATCCATTCATCCATACATACACGTTTCTAACCAGTTTTTTCCATTACCATCATCAGGATTATACTTTTTTGTGCAATTAACTGTTGTTGTTTTTTCTCTGTTTTATTTTTCTTTTTGTAAAAAAAGATGAATGAATGCAGAATGCAAAAAAAAAAGAAAAAGAAATATTTGTACACAGCAATGCTTATATTTTCTTATTTTTCGCTTTTTATGCTATTTACTAGAAATAATAATAAGAGAAAGCGATAGACAGAGAGTAACAAACAGAGAGAAAGAGATAGACAAAATAGAATATTAGCAGCAGCAGCTAGCAAAAAGAAAATTTTCTTTTACTTTGTCTATCAAACAAAAATAATTGTTGCTACTGATGAAAAACAGAAGACAAATAAAGATATTTAATTATGTTGATGTGAAAACGAGCAACAATTTATTTTAATATTTTTGTTCTTCTTTTTCTACGATTGACGTATAAAACATTGGTCAACATTAACAGCCACTTTTTCGCGTTGTTCTAATGGTTTACTTTCAAGACAAAATCTAAACGAGACGAAAAGAAAATAAGAAGATTAACATACAATTAAATATTCTTTCAACATATTTCAACCTGAATACTCATTTAATTGATGAAGAGTAAAAAATGTGCGCTACTGTAACATATGAAATGAGAAATCCATCTGTTAGGTTTCATAATGATCGAAATGACGATCATCTATGAATTAATCGACTGTTCCACTCTCTGTCTTAGTCTATCGTAGTGTAGTGACCAGTCTAGTAACAAGGAACAGATGTGAACATACTTTTTAAATTCTTCAATTTCCCTATCCAATACATCCATATCATCAGTAGTGGCATCAACACGAGGCATAAATATATCTTCTAAAGAAGAATCCAACTCTAAATGCTTCTTGTATTATTCATACAATCTCTAAGCTTACCATCAGTCATATTATTCTCTTGAATTAGCCCTTGTTTAACCATCATTCGTCTATATTGTTGTTGTTGTTCTTGATCATACCGTTGAGAATCGAAATATTGTACTGTAGGATTTTGAATTCCGCTTGCAAATGGATCATAAAGAGGATAAGAAGGTGACGACGGTTGTGCTGAAGATTGTAATTGTTGTCGATATTTCCATTGTTCCTGTTTATCATTCCATTGACGAAATGGAGATTGTGAATCACCATTCATTTGAGCGTAATTCATTGGGGAATAGAGAGGATACGATGAAGTGGAAGATGGTTGAGGACTTAATGTTTGTTGGTGATGAGAGAGATTTGGAGAAGCGCTTGAATTCGGACGTTGGATACAGCGATTAATTAACGTTGTGGAAGAGGATGATTGAGATGGAACTGGTGTACCTAAATATTGAGAAAAAAAAGTTTGTGAATGGTAAAAAGCTATTTATTATTGGTTGTTCATTTCAAAGTTATCGTTCTGAGGTAAACGAACATTGAACATTAATATTAGTAAAAGAAATGCTGCAATATCATGATTTCTATCTTACCTGGAGCTGGTGAAAATGTATGTTGAGTTTGTGATAGTTGCTGTTGATATAAAGAATGTGGTGCAGATGTTGGAGGATGAATTGGACCTAATGGAACTTGTGGACGTTGAATTACTTTATTTGAATCGATAGACGACGGATGATATTGTTGTTGAGATGATTCATAAAGAATTGGTTGTTGTTGTTGAGATTGCGATTGCGATTGAACAACATCTTGATGATTGATAATCATCCAGTACGATGGATCTTGTTCAATCATAGAAGGTTCTTCGAGCAATGATGGAATTATCGGTGCTTGACCAGAAGCAACAGAAATATTCCCAGTTGGAGCTTGTTGTAATGGCACGTGAATATAATTCGATGAAGGTGATGGTGAAGCACTCTGATTTCTAATAACATGCTGCGATGAATTCACTAAAACGAGAGAAATACTGTTTTGAAAACAGACAACATAAATAGAATAATAAACTATACTGAACTGAAATGAAAAAGTTTTAAAAAATCAAGACTACTTTTAAAAACCAACTTATGTTAGGAATGATTCTTGAATCCTATCTTTCCCACGTTAGAGTACTATTTCATACTGTGAAATCCATCCATTTATTCTATGATTCTAAGTGGAGCCAGTTTTTTCTCAAATTTCAGCGGAAACTGGTTTGGCATTAGAATCATAGAATATATGGACAATTTCTCATAAGTTACAATGAATTTCTACTTAGCAATCTGTTATTAACTTACCTTGTGATATTGGCTGAGTTACTTGTTGTTGTTCATGCTCATTCCATGATGAATTATGAAAGGATGATGATGTGTCACCATAATTCGTTTCTGTACTACTATCTTCCTGATTATTTTGTGATAGTTGATTTTGATACCTTGTCTGGTGGGATGCATGATTTTTTAGCAAATTTTGTAGACGAGGTGGAGGCGGAGCAGCCATATATCTTAAAGCATTATAATACGTTGAATCATTAACCTGAGTTGTTGCAGAATAGTGTTGTTGCTGCTGTTGATCTTTTTGAGTTGATTGATAATGATTATTTGATGTATGCAATTTAGACGAGGTGTTTGTACTAGTTGTCGATGAAGATTTTGTTATTGCTGATGATTTCGAACTATTGCTTGTTTTATTATTACTATTCGGATTTAATTGACGTTTACTCGTCGTTGTATTAGTATTGTTTGAATTCGGATGAACATACTGAGATTGATAATGAGTAGATTTTTGAGTAGTTGTTGATTGAATAGGTAATTCTAAACACATAAGAAAAGTATGAGATATCAAAGGAAAGAAAAGAGAGACGCAATCTGAATTTCTTCAAAATTTGTTTTAAATCTATTAGCTTTTTTTCTATACCTTGTGTGACTGATGAGTTTGTCGGTTTGTGTTTACTTTGCTTCCTCGATATAGTTATCCAATTGACTTCTTCTTCTTGAGATGGTTGTGAATAGTGTTCTTCAGTCATAGACGATGACTGTTGTATTTGTGCGTCTTGTTTTGGTAGTGTTGTTACGGGTGGTGAAGGTGTTGACCGATCTTCATTCACAATTTCCGATTTTTGTGGTTCAGGAATGACTACCGACTTTTTCTTTTTCTGTTCTTTTTTCGTTAATGAAACGGGTTTTATAACATCAATAATGACTTCATCCTGCGTTGTTTTATTCACGATTTTAGACTGTTTTGGTGATTCTTCCAGTTTTGTAGCTGTTGGCTCACTTTGTTGTTGTTGTTGTTGTTTTTTAGATCGTTTCTTTTTCGTCGTTGTAGACGGTTGATCAGTACTAGTTTCATTTGTTTTTGCAGGTGTAGCCGTCGGGAGAGCAGTAACAACAGTAGAACAATTCTTTTGTTGTTGTGATGTCTGTGCCTGTTGACTGAAAAAAACGACATGAGTAAGTAATCCTTAATCCTCTTATCTCAGCGAATTCTAAAGCTCATCTACAAAGTTACCGTAGTTGTAAAGTTTAAACTTTACAAACACTTCATTGAAAATGCAGAATATTACCAATGAACCTAGCTTTTTTGAATATATTTTTTTACCTTGTAGTTTGCGTTAGATTTGCTTGCGGTTTATCTATTATTTTGATCTGTTGTTCATTCGTTGTAGTTTTATTTGTTTTTAATTTTTCGTCTCTTCCCTCATCTGTTGTTGCTCCTATTGCTTTTTGTTGTTTTTTCTTTTTTGATTTTTTAACGTCTCCAGAATTAGCCGCACTACCCGTAGATGCATTCGTTGCTGTTGATTGATCATTTTTTTCTTCAGCATTAATATATCGTATCAATTCATCTATTTCATTTACAGGAGTCATTTGAGTTGTTGTGGCAGAAGATGGTATTGTTTTTGTAGTAGTTGTTGATGCAGATATTCGTGTTTGTGTTTCAGAGTTTGATTTCGGCAACGTCGAAGAAGAATTAGTCGAAGGAGGAATGTTGTTATTATTGATCACTTTTTTTACTTCAATTGTTTCGCTATTGGTTGTAAGTGTCGTCGGTGATGTTCCTTGCGAAGTTTTAGTTGTTGATGCTTGATTATTCTTTGAAGCTATAATGATACCAAAAAAAAAAGACTTATATTAGCTTAAACAGGGTATGAATATTGCGAAAAATAGTTAAGAAAGGAATTATATTTAAATCTGCAAATGCTCTCATCTTCTTTGTATTCTATTGCAAAACTATAATACTTTCCATGCAGCTATTGTACGTTTCATCTCCTAATTCTCTAAACAAATCTTGCTCATAAACAGAGATACTTTCAGTTTTAATGATAGAAACAAAGAAATTCTGTACGTACTTGTTGTAGTTGCTGCTGCCGTTTTCATAGCCGTAACCGTTTGTTTTGCATTAACATTTGTATTTGCTTTTGTTATTGGTGCATTCGTGACATTATTATCTTTAAGTTTGTTTTGAGATGCAGGAGTTACTAATAGATTATTAGTTTTTCCTCGTGTTGTTGATGAGACCGTTGTTTGAGCTGTCATAGCGAATACATTTGTTTTCTTTTCCATTTCTTTCATTTGTGCTTTTTGCTTTTGAATACACAAAGGTAAATGCTGCTCTTGTTCGCTAGTTGTATCATCAGTCATCTTTTTCGTTGCAACCGGTGTCGTGAGTGCTTGACAACACGATGGAGTCGAAGTGGTTAACGCTGTATCGGCTTGTGATGCTTGTACTCGACGTTTTGTTAATCTTAATCTTAATTTTTCTCGAATTTCTGCATTACGTTGACTCGAACTACCACCAATCGATGCGCACACAGTACCATTACCAGTCAAATGAATTGATGATGCTCCATTTGGACTAACATGTTCAAGAAGTTCACAATAACAAAAATCACAATGTTTTTGACTGTTATTATTATTATTTCCATCATCTTTACACGTTTCTTTTGTTGCTGATATTTTATTTTGTTGAATAAGTGCTTGAATTGCTGGTGGTGTGGATGTACATGATGAACGTTTTTCTTGATCTTGTTTCGATGATGTAGTTGCTGGACATGTCATTGGCAACGAGGATGTAGTGCACGATGAAGATGTTAATTGTTCAACAGATTGTGGTGAACGCAATGAAGCTAATAAAGAATGAAGAGCCGATTCACTAACTTCAATAGACGAAGCAGCATGACGTAATAGATGATCTAACGCTTCGGTATAATAAGAAGGTGAAGATGATACATTTTCTTTCGATGGATTTGGAGCTGTAAGTTGAGAAGAACAACAAATGGACGGGGAACCAGTTGAACCAGATACTGAAATAAAAATCAAAGAATTATGTACATCTATAGTTATTAATAAATATGGCTAAAAACTCAGATCATTCTTAAATACTTCGTTCAGCAAATATGTTTCATTCAAAATTTTCTCGAAACAATATCAAATCGTAGTCGTAAGTATTAAAAAAAACAAATAATACGAGATGTTAATCAAACATCAATTAAATTGTTCAAGTTTAGTATAAGAATTCATTTTAAATTAGTTTAAATAAGTTTTTTTCGAACAACGAATGTATCTCATAGACTATCGAAAAGTATACACGAAAAGAACTTGAACTAGTCCTTATATAATATAATTTTTTTTGTTATACGATCCAAAAGAGAATTAATAATAAATTTCGATGAAAAATAAGTTTTTGTCATTTGGAAAAAAATGTCTGATTTATAGTAAAATTATCTACGCATGTCTAAGTTTATATAAATGCAAACACATGATGGCATGCTGTTTCAAATCTTTGTTAATTACAGATCAACTCTGGAATATATATAATATACGATAATTAATTTTTTTGAGCAATTGAAAAAGAAAGAGAACCAGGAGTACTAAAAAGTGGAACGAGGAAATAAAAAGATATACATGGATATGTTATATACGTCATTTTCATATTTAATAGAGAAATGAAAAAAAAAAAAGAACTCATTAGTTTTTTTAACGCTGAAATATCATCTCTTATCATCCGTTTTCTTTATCTTTATTATCTCATTTTTAAAAATGACATCAAAGTCAATGAGAAAATGAAAAAACCACGGTGTAATTAAGCAAAAGAAAAACACACGTCGATATTGCTTTTAGATCTTCTACATGTAATTACAGAAATAAATTTTTCATATAATGCAACGATGTAGAATACATAGGTTTTTTTTCCCCATAAAGTTGAGTTTTATATGACCTTGAGAAAAATAATGTTTAATACTATATATACAACCATCAAAACAAAAATTTTGCACTTTCTTAATCACCACTGTGGTTGGTCAACAGCTTACTTTTTTTTTTGCTGAAAATTCAGGTAATTTTCTTATAAATGTTTATCGAAAAGTTTTTTTTCTTCTTTTAATAGATGTCCGTATTCTTATTCTATGACAAGATTAGTCACACAGAAAAGTCAAAATAGATGATCAATATGTTTATAAGGGTATACACTCCTCCCCTCTTTCTCCTCCTCTTTCAGCATTTTTCGGATATCTCAAGAAGGAAAGCATGTCTTTTGAAACGAAAACAAATGAATCTGAGATAGGATGGTATACTTTTCACTTCGATTGGACCATTTTTTCGAGGGCATGTGACCTGATGAAAACTGAAGTTTTCCAAGAAAATCCATAGAAAAATATATCAGAAAATTCTGGTCAAAAATACATCGATTTTCTTTTTCGATGTTCTATTTCTGGAATAAATTTCATCCCATGAACAAACATTGGCTTCCTCGGTTTTCAAGAGGATCAGAAAAGAGGAGTGGGAAGTACTCTTAATGCTAATTATTCTACATGCGTAGAAGAAAACGAATAAATTCGTTTTTTTATTGAAATAGAAAAATGCATTTTGAGACTTACCAATGAGTGATGCTTGTGTACACGTTCCATTTTGATTCATTTGTCCACAACTTATCGACGTTGTGGTCGTTGTTGTTATATGTTTTGATTGTTGTTTTTTCTTAAATTGAGCATCTTTTTTCCTTATATGTGTTACTTGACTTTCATGTTTATGCGACTGTATTTGTTCATCACCACTTCCATTTCCAGTTAATTCACTGATAATAGCTGCTATACGATTTGAATTGTTATTAGATCCTGATGAGGATGAAGAATTATTTCCAGTCGAAGTTGGTTTTCGTGTCAAATTTATACTTAAGCGTGTTGCACCTTGAGACGTTGTTGTAGTCGTTAAACTACCCGAAGTTGTTGCTGAAATTTTCTTTGATGAACATGTTGAAGATGTAGAAGAAGAAGATGAAGAAGATGAGCCTGATGAATTTGTTATTGAACCAAATGTACCAGCTAAAATAAAGAAAAAACACATATTGATTCTCTACATGAAAAGATTGAAATAGAATTAAACATGATACAAATTGCATGAGCTGTTAGGTTTAATAACGGAAAATTGTGATCTGAATATGTTATTAATTGACAAAATTTAAGAACATCTTTCTTTTCCATAGTGGTTCATATCTAAACTCAAAAGTTTGTTCAATTCATATTTGACTAAACCTATATGTTTCATTTCAGAATTCGTAATAATTTGTATTTCATCAAACACTTTTACCAAGGTTTTAGAAATAATTAAAAATCACTAAAATCTCTTGGTTTTTCAAAAATCCCTACAAATTTTTTGGAAGATGTAGTAGTCTTGTAGAATCATGGGAGTTTCTGTATTGAAATTTCTTCAATATTCAAATCGCACTACTTCAAGAATTCAGCTGTGGCAGAAGCTAGAGTAGAAGAAGCTGTATTCTTATAAATAAATCCATTTCCACTCGTCTGGATATAGATCAGCCTCGAAAAAATTTGGACAAAAGAAAGTCTCATTTTCCATTCTGCTTTTTCAAAATAATCCCTGATAAAAGTGAGATGTAAAGTTAAAATTATTTTTTAGAAGAATTCTTAAACCATATGTTCGTATGCATCCAAAAGACATCTCATTAAAAGTTGTATTGAATATTTTAATTACAACTATTCACCTGTAAATGAGACAGATTGAAATTGTGCCGTTAAATCTGCTAAAGAAAGCGGTGTTCGTGGTGGTAGAATCAACTCTTCTTTTGTTAACAAACCAAAATTCGGTATTGTTAGACTTGATGTAGTACATGTTGTACCACATGGAAATTTTAGAGTTGGTTTTATCGATGGAGTTGGCAAAGATTTTAATAGATCACATTTTGCTTTGTTTGTATCAGTAGAAGATGCAAATGATATTGTTGTCGTTGGTGCAGATGTTTTATTTTTTCGTTTTGATTTTGCTTTTTTACTTCTTGAATTTATTGTTAAATCTTCGACTTTCAAATCAGAAACAGTTGGTAACATTTTCTCAGATATCGATGTTGTTTTCTCATCACTATCCTTGGATATAACTGTAATAGGTGATGTAGTTGTCATTGGTAATGTTAAATCAAATTTTGCTTGTTCCGAAAGAACTGAATGAAGAAAAAATACCTCGATATTACTAAAAAAAACATAAGTGAATGGAACCTTCAATTAACAGATGGCTGACAGCATTTTTTTTTTATTGTCCTCCAAAAATAGATTAAAAAAGTCCTCTTTGTCTAGATAGAAGAAAGGAGGAATATTAGATCCAAAATATTTATATCATTTCGATTATTTTAAATTACCTTTTGTATTCTCATCCCTTTGTTTATTATTGTGTATTCTTAGTGTTTCCTGAATTTTCTTTTCGTCATTTTTCTTCACTTTTTTAATCCATTCTTTAAATTCTTTTGTTTCATTCAATTCTTGTAACCAATCCATATTTTTTCCAACATATTTATTTCCTTGATCATGTTCGTCACATTCTTCTTCCAATAAATCTTCCTCTTCATCTTCATCCATCTCATCTTCTTGATCTTCGTCATCCAAATCCTGAAAGCCATAATTATTATTCCAAAACTAAATCATAAGCAATTTTCCGTCTAAAATGATAACAAACCTCTTCATCGGCTTCTTCGCCTTGATCCAAATCTTCTAAATCATCAATTGTATAACTTCGAGTATCATCTGTTGAATTGTCATCCTTTGTATCAACTGAATGTTTTCCTATCGCATTTGATAACGGTCTACAACGAGGAAAAAAACGATAAATTTTCTTCATTTTTAGTAGAGGCACAATAAACTAGGAATATTACTGTTTTCTGCGCTAACTAAAATGTTGAGGATCTTGTATGTTAAACTAGCTATTTAGAAAAAAGGCTAATATTTTAGAACACAATAGCTCAGAAATTTCAGACGATAGTATTTCGTAATTAGAAATAGATAATCATAGTCTCGAACAAAAAGTATACTCATATTTACCCATTTTTTTCCAATTCTATTTGTTTTGTCTGTTCATTTACTGTCTTCTCCTTATTCGGATCTGTATTTTGTCTTTTTCGTTTTGTTCCACTGTTAATTGTTAAGGGTGTTACTATTTCTTTTGATATTTGTTGTTTTTCTTTTCCTTTGACACATGTATTACCATTTGTCATTGTTGCTTCTACTTGATGTTGTTGTTGTTGTTGTTGTTTTTTCTTTTGTTGTACATTTTGAAATAGTTCTTCTTTTCGTTTCATATTCATTTTTATTTCACATTCTTTGTATAGACATGCTATTTCAGACATTTCTTCATCAAATGCCAAAAATCGATTTAATAAAAGAGTATATTCAGCTGGTGAATAATCATCTTGCTCATTTGGTTGTAATAAATCGATAATCGCTGACATTGAATATTGAATTTTACGATCCATATAGATGAGTTTTTCATACAAATGTTTATTGTATAACATCCATGTAAGATAAAATTCTTTCAAATAATGTTCTTCCTAAATGAGAAAAAAATCAAACAGTCAGAATCAATTATCAAGTCTTATTTAAAGAATAAACTACGTTCAAAATGAAATTCTTCTTCTGAGATAGATTTACGAGAATTTTAGACTAGTTATCTTATACACCATCTCAGATATACTTTTCTTTTTTTCTTGCATATGCGATATTTTAGTATGTTATCTTCTTTCTTCGTTCTTGGCAAATATAGATACGGAAGTACGACACTTGATGCAATATCTTCCTTTTCTTTTTTACAAATAAAATTTAGAGATCCATTATACATACTAGATCAGCGACAATTGTCGAAACATTTTCAGCTGCTTGCGTAAATGTTGAATATTCATCTAATAAAAATAATATAAATAATTGAACGTCATGAGATGTTTTTGAACATGTTTGAAATCGTTTTAAAACTTGATTACGAATTTCATCAACATATTCCAATACAATTGATTCTAATTTTGAAAATAATGACGATGGATTATACAATGTTAAACGCATTACATCTTCACGAGCTTTGGCTAATTCAGTTTGAGAATGGTTTTCTAAAAATAAACAAAAAAAAAACGTCATATTGAATAGTTTTAGAAGTAAATGTTCATAAAGAGATCTCTAAAACAATCTATTACTATCATATAGTTATTTTTTTATAATTAAACTTTGGTACGTCTTTGCTCTCGTGAATCAAGAAGTAGTAGCTGAGAAGATTTTCTCTTGACAATTGATTCTTACCAAGGAATTCCGATTCCGTTTCTCTATAAATACACTTAACAATATGTGCAACGTCGTGCCATAATTGTTGAAATCCATTTGCAATTTGTTCAATATCATCTTCATGATCGAAAGAAGATGATGGTGTAGCTGTTTCATCTTGTTGAGATTGTGACTGTTGTTGTCTACATGATGCACACCAACACGTCTGATGAGCGGCATTATTCGTCGTTGAATTTGTTGGTAACGTTGATGAAGTAACTAAATCATCACAGAAATCATCATCTTCCATTGGAACAACAATCATCGGACGTGGTTCATTTCCATTATCATGTTCATCAACGCTATTTACTACCGATGTCACATTCATTTCCTAAAACAAAAAAATGTGCGTGAAGAGAAAAACTAGAGCCATTTTGATTGTCACACGCTTGAGACAAGGACTTTGAAAAAAAAATTTTCCTAGCAGGCCCTGAATCACAGAAGAAACGGGACTATTTTTGTCGTTCTGAATGATAGCAGTAGTTATTCTTTCTACAAACAGCAATTTAAACCATCAAGAACTTGTTCATTTTCATCCCTGACATGGATAATCCTTGTAGTTAAAGAAAAAGTTGCTGATAAGCCAAACTGTCAGTGGTATCTAATACACTACAGTTCTTAACTGAGAATTTGACAACGTCAGTAAATAAAAAACAAAATAAAGTATCGTAGTCAAACTCGTTTATGCTATTAAGAAAATCATTCTTCTATTCGATGTCTGGATACATACTTTCATTTTAGTATTTTCTTCTTCTGTTAATAGTTTCTGCTCACACTCCGGGCACGTCCACAATGGCAACTAAAAAACAAATTAGCAAAAATAGCATGTATATTTCGTACGTTAATGCACACAATAAACACACTTTTGAGATTGTACTGAATGGAGTTTTTGATGATAACAATTTAGTACATTCTAAACGAAAGAAACAAATGCATCAAAAATACATTCTACATTCATTGTAGGAGAAATATCCAGTTGATACGCATAAATATCACACAACTTGTTAAAGAGCTTTCGAATCTATCATTCTACACAAGACAGGATCGTCATAACACAATAAATATTAGGCGAAAATGTAAAATAGAGAGAGAGCGAGAGTAAAAAAAGCGAATGTAGTTGGACGGAGCATTTGGTGTTCATACTTTCATTATTATTTTCATCATTAATTGTTTCTACATTGTTGTTATTCACATTTGGATTTAATTTTTGACAAATAAAACATTTTTCTCTTATTAAATAGGGATTTGGTGCTACTGGAACAATTGTCGTTGTTGTTCCATTTGTCTAAAAACAGTGGTATAGAGACGTAAAAATACTCAAGTCAAACGAGTTTGAAGAAGACTGTATACCTCGTTTTGTTCAACTGTTTCCATATTATTTACTGTCTCGCTTAAATATTTCGATATGTTTAGAGTAGTTGTCTAGTAGTCACACTAAATCTACATACACTATTCACTAATCTAAAATTTTGTTTCAATATGAAACTGGAACCTTGAAAGAAAAGCAATACTTGACAGCTAAACCTTATTTAATTTTACTCTTTTATTTCCTACATTATGATAGGGTACAAAATGCGTGGGCTTCGAAGAACATGGCTTTCACTAGGAAGCCACGCCATTAGCTTTGAATAAGTATGAGACTTAATCAAGACCGTATTATGGTTGACTTTAGTTATCATTAAAAGACAAACAACATTGCTATAAATCTATTTTGATTGAGATAGCTCAGTAGTTTAATTTTCATGTTAAAAGCAGATAAAGACTATTCGAGGCTAATATTCAGAATCCTATTGGTTGAATTATTGAATCAACGGTGAAATCAGTTGAACACAAATTTTATCTTTTGTTGCGAGAAGAATATCAATGAATTGAATTATAGTTCCTGTTCTAATTACATTGTCCGGAAATGTCACGCTAAATGTATAACAATGTCATGCTAAAAGTGTGACAATATTATTTTAATATTTTTAGCACGACATTGTTATACGTTTACCGTGACACTTCGGAACAGTGTTGTCAATGAGAAACAAACGTTAGAAATATAAGTAAAGAGCAATTTTTTTGAAGGATTTTCCTACTAAACAAAATAGAAAGCTGAACCCGCTCGCCGTTCTATTCTTTATAAATTAAGTTCTTTTCTTGATGCTTAGCCGTGCTAACTCCATAGACGGATGATATAATAATGAGAAATTGGAATAAGGACTACTGGGGAAATTTATATTCTTTTTACCAGACTGATATTTCATGATCTTACGGACTGTATGAAAAAACAGAGAACATTTTGATGCAATAGATTATTCGTCTTATAGGAAAAATTTAAATATCTTTATAGAAACTAGTGACAAGTCCGCTTGTCCACCATGCTATTAAAAAAACACTGGTCTTTTATCAGTGTTTTTGAGTGACAATTGGAATTACAGTGAAATATGTTACTTCAATCTAAAAAGCGCAAACATCAGTTGTATCTATATCAGCTGCATGAATCGAGTCGATTCGCTTCTTAATTCAGGTCAGCGAAAAGAAAGTTTTGTATGACTTTCACTTTGTATAAAACTAAAAATAATAAAAATTTGATATATTCAAATCTAATAAACAGAATGAAAAGAAAATTGAATTAATAACAAACACATGTCTATCTTTTCTTCTTTTTTGCAGATAAATAATGAATTTGAATTTTTGTCAATGCAGAAAGTGAATTTCTTTATAAATGGTATTTCATTACTGTTATACATTGATATTTATATTCACATATATTTTTTCTCTTCGTATATCAGCCACTCGAGAAGGTAACACTATTTCAACTGCTTCTGAGTGTGTGTGTTTATGTTTCAATAATTTATTTGTTTACCATCATTTTCAGATGTGAATTGTAATGACGCAAAACTTGGGTACGTATCGTAAAGTAAATATAAGTAGTTTTTTTGTATAATTTATTTTGTTTAGATATACGAGATTAAAATCCGGTAAATGTGTATCATGTATGCATTATTGTAATGATCAAACAGACATATGTCTACGACCATCGTTATTAAGACGTATATGTGAGCGAATATTCAATGAGAAAAATCGAACATATGGAAATCTAAAAGATTGTCAGCAATTAGTAGCAAAACATGATTTCGAAAC